TACAAATTATACAAATTTAACTACTTTATGCTCATCAACATAACTGCACTTCATAAATTCAACTCTCTCAATGTATCTTTTATCCTTGTTTAATTACAAAATCGATTATCATAACTGATTAATTGATTTTTAGTTACAAAATCAATTATTAAAATCAATTTTAAACTATTCAATTTTCGATAATCGATTCTCATCCCTAGCTGACATAACATTTCAGCATTAATATGTTTTGGGTTTGGTCATATGATAAACTGATTTTAATATAAATTGTAGTTAAACCGGTAAAACTAGATTACCATATGAGTCTTATATAACAACCTGTGCTTTTTTAAAAACTTATTCGCACAGGTATATATGAAAATTACACATGATTTTTATATATATCTGTGCGAATAAATTCTTTCAAAAAATTGTTATTAGTGAAAAACATTTATTAAAATTGTAATAGTTAGTCATTTTTAAAATTGCAATTATTCTTTATTCACAAATGATATTTTATTTTATCTGTAAAATAAAAAATGCATGTTAATAAAACATTAAATTTTTTTAAAAAAATCTATATACATTAACTATTAAAAGAAATCTTCAAATTAATAGCAATATACTTTTCAGTATCAGGAATTTTAAGAATTATGTTGTTCATTATGTGTAATAGCTTTTTTTTTAGTTGACCTCTGTACTTTCTTGTCTTCATTATGTTTAATTACTTTGAATTGTGATTGTCTTGATTCTGTGCTATTCCTTTCTTATTAGTTTGATAGTAAAGTAGTGGTTGTTACTGGTCAGTATAAAGTCATAATTGTTACTAGTCATATTTATGTAGCTGTAATTGTTGCTGATCATAATGGTGAAGTCATGGTTGTTACTAATTATAATAGTGAAGCTGTAATTATTGCTGATTATAATAGTGTTATGCTTTTTTATAATTGATCATAAGACTTTTAAACAGTTTTAAAAGTTTTAATTTCACATTTTGAATTTCTTTTTTTTTAAAAAAAAGCTTATCTAAAATGTTAAAAAAAAAGAATAAATAAAAATTATTTTATAATTAAGTAATAAAAAAAAACTTTTTAGAATTTAATGTTTTGAAATTGGATTTAAAGATTCTTAACTTGAATTGATGCACTTGTTATTTTGATGTCTAAAAGATAAGTAAATTATTAAATTAAAAATAAATTTTTTTTTAATAATTTATATTAATATATTGCATATTTTTATAATTATTTTATACAAATTTTGTAAACATATTAATTATACTTTAAAGAGATATCAAAAGTTACTACATTTTTGTTTCTGTTTTTACAATACTTAAATTTTAAAATATTTTACAAACCAGAATTCAGCAAACTCTTTCTGCAAATTCATTGCACAAAAATTAACTAAAAAATTTGTCTGTCAAAAAATACATCTCTAAAAATAATGAAATCTATCATCTCACTTGCATGACTGCCTCATCTCAACATGAAGCTAGTTCA